GCCGTCCGGGGGTTAATCGGTGACAGAGAGAGGGGGGCTGGCCATCCGGGGGTTAATCGGTGACAGAGAGAGGGGGGCTGGCCATCCGGGGGTTAATCGGTGACAGAGAGAGGGGGGCTGGCCATCCGGGGGTTAATCGGTGACAGAGAGAGGGGGGCTGGCCATCCGGGGGTTAATCGGTGACAGGGAGAGGGGGGCTGGCCATCCGGGGGTTAATCGGTGACAGAGAGAGGCGGGCTGGCCATCCCGTTAATCGCGACAGGGAGAGGCTGGCTGGCCATCCGGGGTTAATCGGCAGACAGGAGAAGTGGCCGGGCTTAACCGGGGTTAATCGGTGACAGGAGAGGCTGGCTGGCCATCCGGGGTTAATCGGTGACAGAGAGAGTATGGCTGGCCATACCGCGACCGTGACAGAGAGTATGGCTGGCCATCCAAGCACCGGTGACAGAGAGAGGGCTTTTGGCTGGCCACCAAGCGACCGGTGACAGAGAGGCTGGCTGGCCATCCGGGGTTAATCAGACAGAGAGAGGGGGGCTGGCCATCCGGGGGTTAATCGGTGACAGAGAGAGGCGGGCTGGCCATCCGGGGGTTAATCGGTGACAGAGAGAGGCGGGCTGGCCATCCGGGGGTTAATCGGTGACAGAGAGAGGCGGGCTGGCCATCCGGGGGTTAATCGGTGACAGAGAGAGGCGGGCTGGCCATCCGGGGGTTAATCGGTGACAGAGAGAGGCGGGCTGGCCATCCGGGGGTTAATCGGTGACAGAGAGAGGCGGGCTGGCCATCCGGGGGTTAATCGGTGACAGAGAGAGGCGGGCTGGCCATCCGGGGGTTAATCGGTGACAGAGAGAGGCGGGCTGGCCATCCGGGGGTTAATCGGTGACAGAGAGAGGCGGGCTGGCCATCCGGGGGTTAATCGGTGACAGAGAGAGGCGGGCTGGCCATCCGGGGGTTAATCGGTGACAGAGAGAGGCGGGCTGGCCATCCGGGGGTTAATCGGTGACAGAGAGAGGCGGGCTGGCCATCCGGGGGTTAATCGGTGACAGAGAGAGGCGGGCTGGCCATCCGGGGGTTAATCGGTGACAGAGAGAGGCGGGCTGGCCATCCGGGGGTTAATCGGTGACAGAGAGAGGCGGGCTGGCCATCCGGGGGTTAATCGGTGACAGAGAGAGGCGGGCTGGCCATCCGGGGGTTAATCGGTGACAGGGAGAGGCGGGCTGGCCATCCAGGGGTTAGTCAGTTATAGAGAGAGGTGAATTGGCCATTCAGTGGTTAATCAGTTAGAGAGAGAGGTGAATTGGCCATTCATGGGTTAATCAGTTATGGAAAGAGTTGGATTGGCCATTCAGGGGTTAATCGGTGAAAGAGAGAGGTGGATTGGCCATTCAGGGGTTAAACAGTTATATAGAGATGTGGATTGGCCATTCAGGGGTTAATCGGTTATAGAGAGAGGTGGATTGGCCATTCAGGGGTTAATCGGTGATAGAGAGAGGTGGATTGGCCATTTAGGGGTTAATCAGTTTTAAAGAGAGGTAGATTAGCCATTCTGGGGTTAATCGGTTATGGAGAGAGCTATTCAGGGGTTAATTGGTTATGGAGAGATGTAGATTAACCATTTAGGGGTTAATCAGTCATGGAGAGCGGAGTAAAAGAACAGGCATTATAATTAATGATGATTGTTTTTGCTTGAGTGGAGTTGAGAGGCATACTTGCAAAAACATAATATTCACTGATATAATTTTTAATTAGTGCGGGAATAGCTTCTTGATCCAATGAGATATTTGATCCCCATTATGGGGTCAAGAATGATTTTTTTTTTTTTACTGTTTGATACAAAATTGGAAGCGTTTCAGACTGGATTTTTTGCCTTCTTTTGGCTCAACAGCAAAAACATATGTGAGTAAGGACTTGATAGATGCATGTTCAGCTTTGTAACTATATAGGAGTTTGGAGAGCAAGAGTCTTGTAAATCAAGATCAATGTTGACAACTCAGAGAAAATGATATTTAGCTACCAGAGGTGATATTTACACGTTATTAGATGATAAATAAGGGGATGCCATTGTGCCCTTCTGACCTGGCTGATTTATAAAGATCACTGATTGGTTCTAAAGACTTTACCCTGTTACTAAAACTGAAGAGTGGCAGTCACAGGTGCTGATACAGGATCCAAATCCCATTCCATTACCAATTTGCCCATGCTCGTTAAGTGTTTCATTAGCCAACCTACCCATGCTCTCCAAGTGTTTGATTAACCAACTTGCCCATGCTCTCCAAGTGTTCCATTAGCCAACCTGCCCATGGTCTCCAAGTGTTCCATTAACTGACTTGCCCATGCTTTCCAAGTGTTCCATTAGCCAACCTGCCCATGGTCTATAAGTGTTTAATTAACCAACTTGCCCATGGTCCATTAACCAACTTGCACATGCTCTCCAAGCGTTTCATTTACCAACTTGCCCATGGTCTCCAAGTGTTCCATTAGCCAACTTGCCCATGGTCTCCAAGCGTTCCATTAACCAACTTGTCCATGGTCTCCAAGCGTTCCATTAACCAACTTGCTCACGGTCTCCAATTGTTCCATTAGCCAAATTGCCCATAGTCTCCAAGCGTTCCATTAACCAACTCCCCCATGGTCTTCAAGCGGCTTTGTATGACTTCAGAGTTCTAGAAGCCTGTAATGGATCACCTGTCACCCCGACTGGGTACCTCCGTTGAAGGATGCTCCTAGCGCTTCCTGAGGACTCCAAGCACTGCAGCAGACACCACAACCACCGAACCGGAGAAGCATTTGAATCCTCTCAAGCATATGAATGCTGTTGACAGTTGAATAGGAACCATACGAATAGGTTTACTCTCCTAGCAGTCAAACTGGAACAGCATACAATAAATCCTTCCCCCAATAATGAGACGACACTTCAATTTGAGGGTTAAAATAGGAACTGACTGTAATGGCCACACACTGGCTTTTATGCAAGTCCCCATGCATGGGGACATCCCACAGGGTGGGACACAGTACAACCAATCGTTACAGGGGAACCGTAAAACACACCCACAATTACATCACAATCCCTCCTCTCTGTCCAGGAGATTATTGTGAAGTAATCAAATTATCTCCCAGGAAAGAGGCAAGACTCCATTAACCACATGGCAGACAAAGGACAATAAAAGACATAAAATTACATACAGTTACATTTATTCCATAAAACATAGACATTCTATATATCCCCCAGATAGCTTAGATCTGAGTGCACATTACTACCGAATGGCGCTCAGATCACATACATACAGTTCAATCGCCATGGAGCCAAAGTCTTTCATACAGTCTTTCAGTATACAGCTGGGCTCCATGGCATAGCTATCTGGGGTAGCATGGCTTTAACAGTCCGCAGAAAGGCATGAATAAACCTTTCTGCCGGTAAAATAAAAGTTTAAAATGCAGGACCATAGTCTAAAGGGAGCAGGTGAGCAACCAGGCTTCTCCAGTGTACAGTGGCGAGGTTGGTTTCGCCACAAAGCCCAAGCTTCGCTAATTATTATCTAGTCTTGCCTGAAATCAGCCATTTCAGAAGCTATCCGAAAAAGTGGGGTTGGAGGTCTGACTGTAACAGTCTTGGATAATCGTGAAACTTTTTCAAAAGTTGTGTGAAGCATGGCTGGGAATGCTAAAATGGGTTATGATGATGACCTTATCTTCTGATGTCTGACCTTCAGGAGAGCCCAAAGAATCGTTTTGAGTGGAGAAAACACAATATTTAGCTCTCTTGTTCATCGTTGTAAGAAAGTATCTGTGTCTATTACATCTGAATCTGGTCACCAACTGAAGACGTGGGTGCTTGGAGCTGAGCGTCAACCCTGGAAGTAAAAAACATCAGTGGGGAAAGGTCCCCAGAGTATTGTGAGGGACCGCCTGGTACCCCAACTCGGTGCCTCCGCCAATCACTGCTTCCTAGTAACTCTGAGTACTTCTGTAATAAACGTTTAACTCGCAAGTTGGAATAAACTTGGAATTAATAATAACATTAATAACTAAAAATAATAACTTAAAAACCGAGTGTAAATTCAGAGTCCACACTCCTTGCTTTTGGCAATTCAATAATATTTATTAATAAAGGCTTAATCAAACAAATAATACATATACATTTGAAATAGGCTAGTATATGTTGCTACTAAAACTAATCATTGACTGAATGGAAAGTAGGCTAAATTAACATAGTAGAACAGGCATAGACACGTGATACAGTTACCACTCCATCGATCAGCAGCTGAGAGTAAGAGAGAGAGGGTGTGTATAGTGGGGAGAGGGGAGAGAGGAGAGAAGGTGAAGAGAGGTAATTCAAAGAGAGAGAGAATGTGCTATTCACAGGGCTTTAAACAGGTTAGTCCCTCCTTCTGCTGGACACACCTCCCTTAGTCAATCCCTTAGGACAGTGATGGCGAACCTATGGTACACGTGCCACAGGTGGCACGCCGGGCCCTCTTTGTGGGCACGCGGCCATAGGTTCGCCATCAATGCAGAGTAGGCACCTGCCTGCCCAAAACGGCAGGCGCCTACTCTGCTTCCGTGTCGGGAGGCAGGGGGGAGGGATCTGTGAAGCAGCTCCCCTTCCTCCCGCGCGATGCTGTGTGGAGCGTTGCCGTGCGTTACCATGGCAACGTTCCACACAGCATCGCGCGGGAGGATAGGGGAGCTGCTTCACAGATCCCTCCCCCTGCCTTCCGACCCGGAAGCAGTACTTACCACCACCAGACCACCAGGGATGGCTGTGTCCCACCCT